GATGATGGGGCAGGCCAAGCCAGGCCAGCCCAGCCATTTGACGACGTGGGATGCAGTCAGCAGAAGCTTGTTTGTCCTGAGCTCAGTGCTTCTGAGAACACCAGAGAGCTGCACAGGCACTTTCAGGAGTAAGTGAGCTCCGTCGGGAAGGTGGGGGGGTTATCTGCTGTCAGAAAGGGAAGTGCAGATCTTTGACTCAAAAGGGAGATGAATCGGGTTACTGGTCAATGAATAAATCTGGAGCTGTTCCTCTACCTCACCCCCAAACCAGCCTGCCCGTACCAAGAAGCCTTCTGAAGGGTGAAGAGGACTGGGCACCGCTGCTGCCAGCCTTGTCCCAGGCTCAGGACTCCCTAGAAAACAGTTCCCAAAAAGCAGTTTAACGGATGCCACGCCTTGTTTCACCATATAATCAGACACTTGTCCCCAGGAATGGAAAATGTCCCATTTGTCTACAGAGATCATAAAATGTTCCTTTATTTTTAAGGAAAGGAAGGGAATGTTTTTTCCCCTCCTTTGTTTTACTTCACTTTCTCTTTTACTATCAGGGAAAAGAATTAAGGTCCCATCCCAACAGTGCTGAGGGTACTAAACTTCCCTAGATACCAGCTCTTTTGTGGGGATCCCTGCATTCAAGCCACAAATCGGTATTAATGCTCTGGATTTGCTTTTGAGGTTAAAAAAAGTAATCCTGTGAATCCAAAATGTGGCTCTTCCTGCAGAGGGGAATATTGTAGCTTCATGATTCACTGCCATGTCGTGATATTTAGCATTTTCCTGAAAGGATCAGCACACAATATCAATTTAAAAAAACCCCAAATGAGAAAGAAGACCGCCAAATCTGTTCCTAGCATCCACAGTTAGAGAGAAAAACTGGAGACCATAAGGCTGATGGTCTCTAAAACTCATATCACAAACAAATAAAATTAAAAGTAGTGAGATTTGTTCCTTTTACATTTTTATAACCTGTAAATTCTATATTTTCATTGAAAAAGAAGCTGGACTTTTCCTTGTTTAGATCTTGCCTTCTGTGATCTGAAGACAAGGTTTTCAATCTAATTTTTTTAGCCTTTGCCTTCGGGTGGAATGGCAAAATTAGGACAAACTCACTCAGATGAGCTCATCATTACTACTATTATTCCTGCCATGCAGAAGCAGAGAGCCTGGGAGCCCTTCTACTAGTTCAGAGGGGAGAAACACAGTGATTTTTGCACTGGCAAAGTTTAACAGAAAATAGGGATTTTCTTTTAGTTAAAGCCAAATAACAGGGGGATGTTCCAGGTTTTTAAAAGTGATGAAAGTAGATTGGACAAAGCAGCAGGAAGCGAAACATCTAAACCCTCCTGTCTCTAAGTCAGAGAGGTAGTAGGAGTGGGTATCCTTGCCCAAAGCTAATTGTGGTGGGGAATTTGCATCCAGCGCATCCCTAAGTGAAGGCAGGTGGAGCTCTGCTGAGCACGGGACCCATTCTGAGCCGTGAGCCAGGAACAGCTAATGCTTGCTTCCCAAAAGATCCGTAAGAACCTTCGGTACGCCCTTAACGTTTTCAAAACTGTAGGTACTCCAAGCAAGCAGTCACCGAAGAGCTTTTAAATTTTTATGAATTCAGAACACCCCAAATCTAAGAAATTTTACTGGTTTACTGTATTTACTATTTTACCAGTATTTTACTGCCCTGTATTTTAAGCGCTAGCCATGCCAGACGTGACAGAAGGGGTCACGCTGACACAGATGAACGTGGGGGGGGGTTGTGCTTGACCCCATAACGATTTCCCTAAGCACGGGGGCAGGATCAGAGCTCTGGAGGAGTCAGGCAGACCTTGTATCATCCTGCAGGACTCTGGTTCCCTGCAACGGAGGGTCAGGGACAGTTTTAAACTTCGGGGAAGGAGAAGAGGAGCACCCCAGGTGCTGATGGACCATTCCACCTCTCCGTCAGCATCCTCACCCAGGACACTGGGGGACACTCTCCATCTCGACCACGGCACCCGGGGGTGTCCCCTAATCCAAGCCTGGGGGGATGAATGCCTTCCCCTGAGGCACCTCTTCTCTTGTGATGTATGAAATGAGAGTTATGCCAGGAGATATGAATTCTGTCAGTGAAATAATTTTTGGGGCACAGCCCTTAATTTCTTCCCCCTCCATTCCGCAGCAAAAAGCCATGAAGCAGCGCAGGTTTGAACTGCTTCGTTTATAAGCCATCCAAACAAATGGCCTGAAGTAACTGTATTCAAGGCTTTAAACTGTCATCTTGGACTCCGTAAGTAGATTCCCAGAAAACAGCATAACACTCTTTAACAGCAAGATCAGTTACAATTGAGTAGCGGTGGCTGCTCCCCAAGGCACAGGGCTGAATGGGACTGGGGGGTCACAGCACCAAGACCCCTCTGTCCTTCCCTCCTGCAGATTCTGCAGCGATCTAGAGATCCCGGCCAAGTGAAACCATTTCGCAGCAGAGCACAGTCCCTTCTCCATAGGATTCCAAGGAGAGTTAGCAGCCTACACATGCTTTTTGTTACTGGTGTCTTTTTCCTTTATATTTTTTATGTGGTTTATATAAGTGGCTGGCACGCAGCCAAGATCACGCAGCACCCTGACCCAATATGAGCAAAACGGTTTTCCTGAAC